TCATTCTAGTTGACAGAATTCAGTTCCTTGCCATTGCAGGACTAAGTCCCCCAGTCTCTTGCCAGCTGTCAGCTGGGACCTCTCAGCTCCTAGAAGCTACCCACATTCCTTGCCACATGGTCCCCTCTCACTTCAGACCAGCAGCAGCACATCAAATTCTTCCCATGCTTTACATCTCTGACTTCCTCTGTGTCTGACCTCTACACCCAGATTTAAGAGACTCATGATTAGGTGAGGCCCACCCAGTAAGTCTCCTCTCCCTATTTGGAGGGACCCTAATTACATTTGCTAAATCCCTTTTAACATAAAAGGTAACGTAATCATGGGAGTGATACTTATAATCACAGGTGCTGCCTACTCAAGGGAAGGGTTATGCAAGGGTGAAGGCCCCTAGGAATCATCTTCAAACTCTGCTACCCCAAGCCTCAGCCTTGAATTCTAAAAATGATTCCTCCAGTCTGTGGCTCCCATTCCACTGTTTTTCTGCCAAAATGCCTTGCCCCACATCCTCCCCATTACCTGCAGTCCGGTTGCCCATCGGTCTCCTCCTGCTGTTCAGGTAGGCCGAGAGCCTTGAACATCCTGACACCCTGTCCTTCACATGCTTCACTTTTGCTGGCAGCTGCGGTCTGTCTGCTCACTTCGCTCTGGATCTCACTGACATCGTCACCTAGTTTAGGGCCCTGTTCATTATGCCTGTTATTTGGTATTTGTTTCCTAACTGACCTCCCTAACTCCCTCCTCCTCCCCACACCGTTTAGTTTATCTCTGCAACGCAATTGTCCAAAACACTGCTGCCGTGATGCAGCACAGCTTTGTGGAGAGACTCTTAAGATGCCACAGCAAACTCACAAGGGTGCTGCAGGGTATTTTTAATTTTTGAGGGGAAAACAGGGACATCTGCCAGAGTATTACTCCTGAGTGGTTTGGAACTATTTAATAAAAGGAATTCTGGTATTTATTTGGGCCTAAGGTTGCTATGAACCAACAAAATTTGGGAACCTCTTCCGTGTGACTTTGAACCACTTTACTCTGAGTCCAAGTTCCCACATCTATAAAAGGTGGTTGGAAAAGATGATCTCTGGAGTCTCTGCTTTGTGTATACACACACACGTCCGTCTCAGACCTCCTCGCCGCCTGTGGGCCTCCACCTCCAGCCTCTGCCACAATATCTCCACCTGGCTAGCTGTTGCACTTTTCTGTGAAACCCTTCTTTACCACATAATGAGCATTTGTCTCAGCTGTTTGACTAATTTTTAACGTGTGTGTGTGTGTGTCCTTGTCTAGATGAACTCTTTTATGAAGAGGAATTGCGGAGTGCCTGCTGTGTGGCTGCCTCTCTGCTGCTGCAGTGAGAAGAGCCTTACCTCTGATTTACCTGTGGACCCCCCACTTCCTAGTCAGGGCCACTAGGAGTTCCTTCTCTGCCAGAGGAGGTACCAGACCTTGGGCAGTAGGAGCCCTCCTCTTCTCCCGTAACTGGGCTTCCCTTCCGCAGCACTGTAATGGCGTTGACTGGCGTCAGAAGCTGGACTCGCAGCGAGGGGCCGTCATTGCCACCGAGCTGAAGAACAATAGCTACAAGTTGGCCCGATGGACCTGCTGTGCTCTGCTGGCTGGATCTGAGTACCTCAAGCTTGGGTAAGATTCTGTCCAGGAGCTGTGAGCTCATCTTCTAAAAGGAGGGGTCTGTGGGTAGAAAGAGGAGGGCAGGCATTTTCACCCTTCTTTTGGGAAAAGAACCAAGCCAGGTGTCAACATTTCCCCGACATTTGGCCCAAAGTGGTGGTGTGTCTCTGGGTGGGCCTGCCCGCACCACCAATAACCCTCTCCCCCAACTAGTTACGTGTCCCGGTACCATGTGAAAGACTCCTCACGCCACGTCATCCTGGGCACCCAGCAGTTCAAGCCTAATGAGTTTGCCAGCCAGATCAACCTGAGCGTGGAGAACGCCTGGGGCATCCTGCGCTGCGTCATCGACATCTGCATGAAGCTGGAGGAGGGCAAGTACCTCATCCTCAAGGACCCCAACAAGCAGGTCATCCGTGTCTACAGCCTACCCGATGGCACCTTCAGCTCTGATGAGGACGATGAGGAGGAGGAGGAGGAGGAGGAGGAAGAAGAAGGTCTGTAGCAAGCTTCTTTCCTGAGTCTAGAGTGAGCTGAGGCTGGCTAGGGACCAAGCTCTAGAGCCACACTCCTCGTTGACCTTGATGTAAAGCTTTTCCAGAGTTCCCTGAGACGTAACTTGGGAGTAGGATTCACTTTGGCTCCGGGGGCTGCTTCAGGAGCCTTTAGGTCACACAAAGGGGTTGGGAGGAGAGAGGTATGCCGGGGGCTGGGCGGGGAAGCAGCATCAGGGAAAGGCGAGGAATCCCCAGTGTTAGCCAGTGACCTGACAGAGAAGATGCCCCAGGGGAGTTACACACACTTACGCTCTCTCCTGCTTCACCAGCTGATGACTAATGGAAGCATCTATTAGCCCTGAAGGTCTGAAAGGCTTTAACTTCTGAGTGAAATTGTCGAAAATCATAAGCTGCTCAGCATAGCTCGTTTCTCTAACATTTTGTCTTTCAGAGGAAGAAACTTAAACCATATGGAGACGAGATGCAGTCTGTAATTCCACTGAGCCTAGAAGGGCCTTGGATGCCTAGTGGAACATTTGTCTGATTCTTGCTCTCTGAAGTTTGACAGATGGAATAAAGTTTAACTCTGTTTAGTCTCTTACCTTCATCACATGCTGACATGATTGACAGCCCTTCTTCCTGTACCGAGTAGGCCTTGGGAGAGGGAGGGTGAGATACAGCAGTTTCTAGCTGGAGCTCATAATCTGGGTCCCGTCACTTGTTCTTGAGCATTATTAGTTTTACATTTGTGGTTAGAGGGTGAATGCCCTAGATTTTTTTTGCTCTTAGAACCCCTTGAAATTATCCTTTCTAGGGGAGTTGTCAACTGTGAGGCCCCTTATGGAGTCCCCGTAAGAAGTCCATTTCCCCAAACATGAGTGCCTGCTGGCTGTGTGCCAAACCCAGCTGCTGCTCTTAGAGCCACAAGCCACTAGGAAAAGGTGAAGCAGGGCTGTGCTTGAAGGTTGAGGTGGGGTTGCTCATGAAGGAGACTGCCTCAGAAGATTGACAGATGCTCCACTGGGTAGTGATCATAATGGTTTATGAATTGTTTTCAAGCTTGGCTTGGGCTGGTGAGAATCTCAAGCTGGCATCCTCAAAGCAATGTGTCAAAAGCAAAGCTATGGATGCTCAGGATATATAAGCTTTGTAAGTGCACAGTGTTCTGTTCTTGACACTATGAAGTAATTGCCCTGCCAGGAATCACTGAGCTTTTTTTAAATCTGCCCCTGACAGAACCCTAATGGTGGAAGTGATACCACTGTACAAATGAGGAAACAGCCTCAGCTTGAGTAACACTGCTAAAGTTACTGTTTTAATCAAAATAATTCAGCCTCAGGAAGTAAGCAAAAGTACATTGGGCTTTGCTAGAGTTGCTAGGAAGGTAAGAGCATAAAGATGCTTCCTGGGGTCTCTGGTGTAGGCGGGGTGTTTAAAAGTACATATTAAAATAGCGTGACAAGTTTCAAAGTTGGACCAATACTCAAGCTGCCTCCTGTAGCCCCATGATGCGACCCAGCAGGATTAGCTGTAACAAGTGGGCAAGTGGAAGGTAGTTACCAGGCTCATCCTAAAAACATTTTGCATCAGCTTCCCTGTGCTTGGCCTCTTAGCTCATCTTAGGTCATGTTGACTGAAAAAGAGCACTGACTCAAAAATCTTTGAGAGTATCCTGCCACCTACAGTTATGGCTCAGCAGTCTCAAGGCCTAGCCATACCTTTATCAGTCCTAATCTCCCATTCACCAAATAAAGCCAGCAACTATTTTAGTTACTTATTTGCCAGCTCTTATTCTCAAATCTACAACCACTAACAAGTAGACCTCCCCACTTTATTTTTAGTTAGATGTTTTGCCTAGCCTATCTGGTTTCAGTGGTTACTCAAGTGCTTACTGAGGGCCATAGTGAATAAGATCATTTCTGCTCTAACAGAGCTTTTCCCTGATGCTGATGAATAACAAAGCCCATTCCTTAGTGGGTACGCCTTGGTCTGGGAGGTCAGGCAAACATTTCTAGAGAAATCCCAGTAATAATTTTTAATGAAAAGGAACTCCAGCTTCAAAACGCTGGAAGGCCAGAGTTCTTTCCACACTAGGCATGGCTACCTTACCCCGAAAACCCTCAGCCCCAACTCACCGTACTTCATGTCCTTTGAATTTTCCTGTACTTCCCTGATAAAATGCATGTGTTCTGCCCATGTAACTCATGCAGAGTCCACATTACGCCTCTGCAAGGCCAGCCTCCAGATCATTTGAAAGGCAGTTCAGGATCCTGCCCTTCATTTTGCCTCAGCTTCCACCATGCTTGCTGTACGCTAGCAGTGGATCTATGTTTAAGTGTCTATACTGGCCTATCATAGGCCATTTTGCAAAACTACCAAACAAAAAAAAAATTTGGGTAAAAAACGTTTTGGAAAGCCTCATAATTTGGAGTAAAAAAGGGGGGTTTTAATTCCTGACGCCACTTAACTATGTGATCTTAAGCAAATCGCCCCCAGACCTCCATTTGGCCAGTGGCTGGTTACAAGAATGTTTGAAGCAGAACTGTTGCCTACTTCTCCTCGGTTGGTGGAAGATCTATTCAGTCATGCAAGTCACTTCGTAAACAAAAGATTGACTCGTTGTAGTAAACACTTGTTAATTGGTTTTTGTGTCCCGGCTTCACCAACTTGGTTTCCAGTCCCCCAAAACTGGTCTGGCTAAAACTGGGGTTATCTCCAGAAATCATCTATTCCCGTGCCTCACTTAACATGCAGAGAGGCACAGCTTTAAGAGAAGAGTCCCGCGCCCCATGCTGGACGCGTTCTCCAGCCAGCCCCCAGCCGCGGGCGCCACCAGCCAGTCGGCCAGCACGTGCGCGCCCGGAACCCTAGGCCCGCCCGCCTGTCCCGGCGTGCCGCGCGCCGCGCACGTGACCCCGCCCCCCAACATTGGCCGGGCAGGAGGGGCTGGGTCGCCGCCGCGGCCTCACCGGACTGCGGACTGCCCCCGGAGCTGCTAGGAGGTTTGAGCTGTGTACGCAGGTGAGCCGGCGGACTGGGGAGGCGAGAGCTGCCGAGGTGCACCGCGCGCGCGGGAAGCGATCCCGGAGAGCGCGCACCGGCAGGTGGGCTGGGTCATCCCTGGCACGTGACCTGAAAGGCCTGGTGGGGCGGGGCCTGCGCAGGCCACACCTCCTTCGTGCATCAGCGGTGAGTGGGCTTGTAATCAGATTTCTGCTTCTTGAGGGTCTAGACAGATGAGGGCCCCGGGGTGGTGTTGGGCACCCCTCAAATTAGGGGCAAAGTGGGGGAACACCCACCCACTTACTACCATGGCAATAAGATGGGGGCTGGCACGCCTGGGACCCGAGGCCCTAAAGGAGACTGAAGGGTTCGTGGTTCCTGGGGGGACGCCTCAGATCGGAGCCTGAAACGATAGCGTCGAGGCAAATGAGCAACGAGATGGGCGGGTTCTGGTCCTAGCTCCATCCCAAATGGCAGTGAGAGGTCGGCAAGCCCCAGCCTCTCTCTGGGTCCCCAGATCCTCACTCATCTCCCTGGGCTTCGAGGGGCCATCCGTGGTCCAAGGCCTCATACCCCCGGTCTGCCGCAGAATGGGCCTTTCCGCCCCAGCCCGGCTGTGGGGGCCCCCAGGGCTGCTCCTGACCATCGCCCTGCACCTGGCTCTCGTCCTGCGCCCTTCCAAGGCCTCGGCGCTCCGGCACCGGGACTACTGCGTCCTGGGCGCGGGGCCCGCGGGCCTGCAGATGGCCTACTTCCTGCACCAGGCAGGGAGGGACTATGTGGTGTTCGAACGCGCCCCGGGGCCCGGCAGCTTCTTCACGCGCTACCCCCGGCACCGCAAGCTCCTCAGCATCAACAAACGGTACACGGGCAAGGCCAACGCCGAGTTCAACCTCCGCCACGACTGGAACTCGCTGCTCAGTCACGACCCCCGGCTGCTCTTCAGACACTACTCGCTTGCCTACTTCCCCGATGCCAGCGACATGGTGCGCTACCTTGGCGACTTCGCAGACAGGCTGGGACTCCACGTGCTGTACAACACAGCCATTACCCACGTTACTCTGCACAAGGATCTACAGGCCTGGAATGGCCATTACTTCTTACTGACTGACCAGAAGGGCCAGGCCTGCCAGTGCAGGTAAGGAACCAGGCCCCAGAGCTCCGCTGCTGATGCTGGGGCCTTTCCTAGAGGAATTCACACCCCTTGCTTGGGTGGTGGTAGGTGTGGGAAAACAGGGGCGTTTCTACCACTCCGTGCTCCAACTGAAATTAAGTGCTAAGAGATAAAGCTCAGCCATCATTTCCCAAATGTGTCCTAAAAAAATCTGTGATTATGTTTGGAAAATACTAACCAGTTCCTTCCCCCAGGATCTGTCAGTCTTCGATATCTTCATACTCACTGTGACATCCAACACTGGGTATTCAGCACTGTCTGTGTATGTACCCACAAAATCCTTTCTGTAAAGCATCTCCTAGAGCTAGTGTTCCCAAAAATACGTTCTGAGAAGTGCTGGGTTAAATGTCCAGTCAAGTATTTGATGGGCTCTGTGGGATTTCAGAGTGGAACAAAGTGGGAGGCCCCACAGGCAGTGCCGTGGCATTCAGGCTTAGCTTGCCTTGTCCTGGGAGAAAGCTTAATGCTGTGTAGACAGCCCCAACCTGAAGTCGCACACCATACTGCAGTTGTTCAGTCCTCACAAGGACCCTATGGGGGAGACTCACTGATCCCCACTTTAAGATGAAGCACTGAAGCTCACAGGAGTTACGGAAGCTCACAGGAGTTGAGTTAACTGGTGCTACGTCACACAGCTAATAAGTGGTACAGCTGCGATTTGAGCTCATATCTTCCTGACTCCACGGCCTGTGTTCTTTCTGCTACACTTTCCTGATCATTAGCCTAGCACCTGGCTCCAGGCAGATGCTCAGTCAGAGTTAATTTTCTCATGCCTCTTGCCAGAGACCCAACCTTACTCTGCCTGTGACAGCCCAGGGAAAGAAGGGTTGTGCCAGTTTGGACCCCTGCATTTTACAGCTGTGCTACAGCCTAGGGAGTCAGATATGAGCAGAGAGAACAAGGGTAAGAAAACAAGTAGTGATAGGGCACATGTACCTTCTGCAGGCCATCCAGTTCCATTTTTGAGGCCACCTTGTGTCAAGCCCTGCTGCAGGCTGGCAGGAGCCAGCTCCCTGGCTGCCCACCACAGGACTGTAATCTTCACCAGTATGAAGAGCCGGACTTTGGAATCGTCCTGGTCTGTGTTCAGATTCTGGCTCTGCTATCTTAGGAGCTTTGGGGGCCATGGGCCAGCAGGGCCTGTGTCTCACCTCTAAAACAAGCCACATAACACCTACTCAGGGTTGCTTTTGAGCAGTAAGATGATGCGTAAAACACTCAGTGTGGGACCTGGTACAGAATTCCTGCTCAGCAGATACCCGTATCTGGCAGGCAAGTCAAAAAGGAGGAAGCAGAACACCAACTTAAATTTTCATCACTGAGGGTGATGCTTCAAAATTAGGTGAATTATTCGATTTCTCATGCTGTCACCTTACCTTCAAACAGAGAGTAAAATTAATTTCCATGTGTGGTATAAGCCCTGTAAGGTATAAAGGAAACTGTGTCCACTGGAGTGAGCTCAGTGAGGGGCGGGGTAAAATCTCAGATACACTGCGATAGATGAGTAAACGGATGAGCGAATGAATGTCATGTTTTCTTTTAGGAGCCAGCAGCCCAGGTGAGATGGGTGAGCCAGGCAGGCAGGTGATCTTATAGGTAACAGGATAACCATCTTCTCTCTGCTCCCCACCTGCAGCGTCCTTTTTGTAGCCACTGGTTTGTCAGTCCCCAACGAGGTTGACTTCCCTGGCTCCGAATATGTGGAGGGTTACGAATCCGTGTCTGTGGACCCCAAGGACTTTGTGGGTCAGAATGTACTGATCCTGGGCCGTGGGAACTCGGCCTTTGAGACAGCAGAGAACATCTTGGGTGTCACCAACTTTATCCACATGCTGAGCCGCTCCCGGGTCCGGCTCTCCTGGGCCACCCACTACGTTGGAGACCTCAGGTATGCTAAACAACCACTTGTGAATTCTGTACTACTAGCCCCCTCTAAAGCATCCCCGACCCCAGCTGGACTAACCACCCCTTCCTCTGAGTCTCCTTGCACCCCTATACAGACTCCTTTCTCTCTCATGGCATTTTCCTTGGGCCCCAGGGCCATCAACAACGGCCTACTGGACACCTACCAGCTGAAGTCCCTGGACGGGTTGCTCGAGTCTGACCTCACGGATCTGGCCATTGTGAAGGACCATGAGGGTAAGTTCCACGTCACCCTGAAGTTCTTCCTGGAGGAAAACAACCAGAGTGCAGAGGCCATCCCCCTCCCCCAGGACGACAATGACAACTTTGCCATGCGCGTGGCCTACGACCGGGTCATCCGCTGCCTGGGCTGGAACTTCGACTTCTCCATTTTCAACAAGTGAGTGCAAACAAGGGAGGAACTGGTGTCCCTTAGCAAACTCCCGGCACCCCTCCCCGGGGAGCAGAGTCGCCGTCCAGCAGGCCCAGTAACAGGGCTTTTGGGACTGCACCCTCAGAATGGACATGGGAGCTGCCTGGTTCCCCTCTAGGGGCAGGAGCTCTCTGCTCAGCAGGAAGACCTGCTGCTGTACTGCTCCTCTGAGAAAAGGGAAAGCGAGCTCAGACCGAATGTGGTGGTGGAGTGGCTGAAAGGCAATGTCGCCCTGTGGCTGAGAGCATAGGCTCTGGGGTCGCTCTGAGAGTCTCTGCTTATCCCGTCTGAGCTCTGGGAAGGCTGCCTAACCACGCTGTGCCCCAGTCTCCATCACCAAAATGGGGGAGGGCATGGTTCCTTTCTCACAGGGCTATTGTTGTGAGAATTAACTAGGAAAGTGCTTGGAGTATACTATATGTTCAGTAGAGTGTCAGCTGCCTCAGTTATTTATAATTGTATTTTGAAGAACTGCTATGTGGAACTTCATCTTTAGACTTTGCTGCCCCAGGACCTTGGCAAAGCTTGGTATCAAAGACTCCATCCAGTGTCTCACTTTCCTTCTCACCCAGGCACAGGTGGACAAGGAGAAACTGGAGGGACTGAACCAGGCCCCCCTGTCCCATCAGGTCCCACAGGGCCCGGTCATATCCCAGAGCCCAGCCTCAAGTCAGGCTTGATCCTGGCTCTGTGCCTGACCCACCACTTCTTTAACCTGAGCTTCAGTTACTCCCTCTGTTAAATGGGGCTGACTGTACCTGCCTCCAAGATCTTGGCGTGGATAAACATGATAAGGAATGTAGAGCACTTAGCTCAGCCCTGGACCTGTATTAAGTGTTTCATATACCACAGTGATTTTTCTTAACAGCCCTTTCTCTTCACAGGTCCCTCAGACTCTCTCCAGGGGGTGAGTTCAGGAAGAAGTACCCGCTGATCAGAGCTAGCTATGAGTCCAGGGGAAGCCGGGGTCTCTTTGTCCTGGGTACCGCCAGCCACTCTGTGGATTACCGGAAATCTGCCGGGGGCTTCATCCATGGATTCCGATACACAGGTGAGCGCTACAGAGAGGACCACTGTCTCCCGATCCAGCCATCCCCAAGTTTGTAAATATTCCCATGATTTCCAACATCCTTAAAGGGATTGCTTATCAGTAGTCAGTTGTCATAAATTCCCTGTCTGGGGCAGATGGCATTGGGGTTTTGTGATGTGAGGATATGTCTTGAAAAGTACTAGATAAGGTGTAAAGTACATATATCTGGGGGTTACATGGGCAGGTAACATGTTATCCCGGGTGGGTGAAGTGCTGTGAATAGGCAAGAATGCAGAGCTTGAAGAATGGTAACCTGGCTTCCTCCCCATCTCAACGGTCTTAGAGGTAAAGCTTCATAACCTCTCTCAGCCTCTGCTGGACATGCCTGTCATCAGAGATATAAACGAAAGGAACTCTCCTCTTTCCTAGGGCTGTTTGAGGACTAAGTGAGGCAAGTCCTGGGGACCATGCAGCTGTGAAGCATTATGCACACACAGACTCTTTGGGCACCAAAACATTTAAATAAAAATTGCAATTGGGTTATAGCAGTTCTTTTTCAAAACCCTGGGTACCAAGGGTGTAAATTCTCTACACCCTGGGTAAGCTGTTGGACGGGTGCTTCATTGCATAGTGAATGTAACATGGGCCAGTAAATTTTGCCATTAGCACCATAAGGGTCCTACATCCTTTTAATTTGATGTTTCACATTGCCTTAAAGCTAGTTTTTGCATGTTACCATCCTTTTAGTTTGGCAGGGAAAGATAATCACGTTTTTCTATTGATTTCCAGA